AATGCTAAAACCAATTTGGCGCTTCCCACATGAGAGGACGAGAGTGTTTCCCCACCCTGGAAACGCAGCCTCCAGCTGTCTTGCCCTATGCCAGAGGTTTCTTAATACCCTGGAATTAGCTGACTAAGAGATGAAGCAAGCTAAAGGAGCATTTGCTATCTGTTCAGGCCGCCGAAGCTTTCCATCGAACAAACCGTGGTCTGATCCTCAGCCCTCTGGGAACGGTTGCCCACAGCTAACATTTGCTACCCCACATAACCCCGAGGTGACCTTCTCACTGCAAAGCTGCAGCCAAGAAAAACCCTATTTAACATAACAGTGCACAGCTTCGAACATCAACTTGAACCATCCTGACCTCTGAGCTGCTGGGGTCTGTACAAATTAATTTAACAATAGACAGTGTTGAAAGGGAGGAATGTTTCAAAGGAATAAAAAAAAAATCTCCCTCATCCATCTCTTCTCATTTGAGGAATAGTCAGGAGGCCTGCTTTAGAAAAATTAAAAGTGCTTCTTGTTGCAAAACAATGGGCTATGTAAGGGGAGGGGGAACACGTTGGTTTCTTGCATCTTAGTCTAGCGAAATGAAACTTCCCATAAATGGGTGCCGCTTTTGGAAAATCAGCCTTTAATTTCCACTGGGGAATTGGCTTTATCTCCTGGGGTGCTTCAAAGATAACCCTTAGGGTTTGCCTTTCTTTTTCATAGCTGCTGCTAGTACTTCTTTTAAGCGACTAAGTCTCCCCTTTCTGCCCACTTCACTGTTTTGTACCTTGCCTCATGCTTTCCATGGCTTTCATGCAACCAACCAGACTGGGAAAGGAAAAAGCCCCTCTCCATCTGGTAGCTGGAGCTTAAATCAGTTAATGATTGAAAGAGCCCATCAGATAGGAGATACATAGCAAAATGAGATAATCAGCTACTGGGGCAAACAGCTTTATTACTTCTGCTGAAGAGCAGACTGGGTTGGTTTAAGGCTTGGAGGTTTTCCCCAGGTGCAGGCTTATTCCTCTGGTCCTCCTTAGCAGGAGCTTTGACTCCAGCAGTCTCGTTATCTGTAAGTAGGGAGGATTGTTACGGCAGGGGAAGTTGGAGACAATGAGCAATGTTAATGATAATTTTAAACTTTGTGTAGAATTGCTTTGACAGCTTCAAAGCTGTATGATGAGCATAGATGAGAGAGATGGAAGTTTCTTCCTGAAGCATCCAGTGGACTTCAGTAATTACACCAATGAAACTGCCTTTATTTAGCCAGTGTAATTCATTCCGATCATCATTTCTGGTTTCCTACACAAATGTTTTTCTCTTTGCAGTTGAGATGCTCTTCCTTCAGGAACACAGGGCGTGAGCCTGAGCCCATCTCCAGGTGGTACCATGGGAGACGGTTCCCCAGTGAGGAGCTCGCCCAGGGAGCAGCGGAGGGGTCTGCCGCCAGCCGGGGGTGGGAAGCGTGCGGAGGGGCTGCCCTCTCCTCCCAGTCATTCCCAAAGCCAGCGACTGCGAGGTGTGAGAAGCGCAGAGGCTGACGGAGAGAGGACTGGATGTTTAGTGCAGAGGGAGATAAAATAAACTGATATGTCTCTGGACTTGCTGCGGCTTTCCACACACAGCCTTCAAGACCCTGTGAGGTTGTAGGGGTCCTCTTGCAGCTAATACAGTAATGACCTTGAATTTGCTTCCAGCTCAGCTGTACTGCTGGAGGACAAGGCTTTTCTTGTGAGCAGAAAACATTAAAGCAGCACAGAGATTTGCCTGCATAGCTCCGGTCTTCAAGAGATTTGAGTATCCTTTTTGAGGCCCCACTTGCAACAAGGGATTGTAGATAAGCTTCTGCAGTAGTTAATGTGTAAAGTTTTCAGATTTATTCTCACTGGTGCCTCTCCTTCTGCTTGCAGTGGTGACAAATACACTGCTGTATGCTGATTTTCTTGTTTTATGCAGATAATTTTTTGCTACATGAAAAAGGTAATTGTACATGCTCATAGGTGCACGCTGACCAAGATGAGTGTGCGTTTGTGACCTTGTAAGTGTTAGGGGGGGAAATATTAATTCACTTTGTTTTCAAAATAATTAATTATGTAACTCATTCCTTTTTCACATTGTAACCTGCATATCAGATGTAGGAGTCCAGACTATTACTTCATGCTCATGCAGTCTGCTGCACCAAGCACCTGCGATCACAGACAATTAGAAACCTTCATAGTCTCATACCTGAATGAAGACTAAACCCTTTCTAGTTCTTATCAGCCTCTGGTTGTAAAACACAACAAAGCCTGGAAAGAATTGAGAAAAATATGAGATTTTGTTATGGGTTATGTTTAAATTGTGTTTGGACTGGTTACGTGACTCAGTGGAAAATATTAGTGACCTCTCCCTTTATAGCTTCGACTTCCTGCAAGCTTGTCTGTTATAAAGATTCTGCAAGGCGCTTCCTTTGTGGATCCTGTGTGGAATGGATATTCCAGCCACGTGTTGAAAAGTGCTGGGGAAACACAGCAGGGAAAATGATAAAAAGGGATGAAAGCACTTCAGACGGGTGAAGAATGCTGATTTAAAAATGCAAACCATCTGAGCACTGATGAGTGGGCAGGTTGCAATAACTTCAGGGCAGACCCAAGTTGCACAGCAGCCATACGCTGTAAGTCGACTCCCACAGGACATGGCCTGTAGCAATCTAAAATTGGAAGGGGTCAGGGGGAGCGTCAAGGTGCTGCAGGGAGCAATCTTGCAGCAGCAGAGCACGAGTGGGAAATGGGTCAGTTGGAGTAATAGCTTTTTTTCCATCTGGTTTGTGTGAGCCAAGCCAAACGTGTGTGGAGCACAGGGTTATCGCACTCACAGACCAGATATTTCCCCCCCCCCCCCCAGTGTGTTAGAAGTGAATGTGTTTTCAATGAAATTTGGTCATCCAAGTGTGACATTATGAATCCTCTTTCTGTTTGGACGCTGCCTTGAGCCCCAAAGTCAGCTTCCTTTTTTTAATGTTCTAGGCTTTGTCTGTATCATTAAAATAGACTGTTTGGAAATGTAATGCTGTGGCCTCACGTTCCCAGGAGGTCAGCAGAAATGCTAGCCTGAAGTAGCCCTGCTAGTACCACCTGCGGTTTGTTCTCGCCTCTGCACTGTGGTAGGCAATCTCCTTGTTTCTGCTGAAACAACTGGATGCGCAGCCACATGCAAGTGGAAAGAAGGGCTGACCCAGTTTAAAAATAACCCAAACCAAAAAAAAAAAGTCAGACATATATTTCCCCACCCTAACCCTCCACTGTTGGTTTACTGGTCTGGTTTGTAATGTGCCAGCTCTGCACACAGGGGTGTTGGCAGAGGCATGGTGCAGGAACAACGGACAGAACGGAGAACACCTTACGCCAGTGTTATTGACAGTTTCTTTTCAAGGTGAAACGCAGCCTTAGTTACAGCTGCAGTCTACGCTTTGTGCTCAGCTTTGGGGTACTTCAGCGGCTTTCAGAAAGGTGATAGCATACGGTGGCTGTGGTCTTGGTCCCTCCTGATGGTCAGGTACAAGCAGGCAGTGTGTTATCAGAGGTGTGTAGAGCTGCGTGTGCTGATCAGATGCGGTGTGATGAGATGGTGGCTCCTGAGGCACAGGCTGCTAATGAAGTCCAAGTCCGTCACCGCTCTGCTTCTCCCTTTTCTGGTCACTGCTGGCTGGTACAAGTGGCTCCTAAGTCCCACCATTAAGTGGTTATTGAAACAAACTGGGTTAGGAAAAAAACTCCAGAAGAAAGGGCTTATTTTTAATCCTGATCAAGTGAGTGGTCTGTCACTAAGTAGTATGTTGAGTTGCGCTGCCGCGTAGCAACTGAGGGTGGCTATGACTATGGTTCAGAGAGGCGAATGATAAGGCATATAAGGTATGGCCGGAGATTCTTCAGCCAGCTTTGCCACCCATGCCCACACCACTTGATTAAGCAAGTGAGTTCGTTTGAGGGCATAGTGTGCGTGATGGTCCAGCAATGTGTTAGTGTATTTTCCTTGGAACACAGCCCCCTCAGTCAGACTTTATTTCATGTTGGACCATGCATCCCTCCAATAACGCACAAGCTGTCCAAAATCCCCAAGTATTAGTAGAGCACAGATTTCCAAGTCTAGGTCTGGCATTCTGAACCCACTCACTTTATGTAAATCTGTAGCATTATCATAACGGCATGTATTTAGTTAGTTGTGCCATCATCCCCTTTTCTGGAAAATGCAAACCCCTCACGCCTTGACGTGCAGAACTCCTTCGTGCCACCTCGCTGAGCGTGTGGCATGCATAGCAGAGGTACAACAGTCACTCTCATATTTGGGTGTGATCCTGGGCTGCGCTCCCCAGCAAATGATGTGGCCCACTGATGCTGTGCCAGTTCATACCAGCTGAGAAGAAAAGGTTTACCTCCGACCTGCTTGTGTGATGCTCTCCTCTGCTCCCCTTTGACGATACCCACAGAGCACTGCCTTTTCGGGGCTGTGGGCAGAGGAGGGCTGTCCGGCTGAGAGTCTGTGCTCCCTGCCTGATCCCTTTGGGGACACGCTTGCTCATAGTCCCACTGCATAAGGACTTCTGATGGCAAAAGAGAAGACAGCTAATATTGTCCCCACTGTGCATGCAGCCAGGCGTGGGCTGTTTTTTTTTTTTTCTCTTAATGCTGCGCTCAGTATAGCAGAAGCAGGCGGGCACATGATCTCCCTGAAGGCAGGATCCAGTGTTACTGTAGAAACTGGCCACCAGCTTCTTTTGTAGCTAGCAGCTGTCACTGTGTGGTTACAGCCAAAGCGTGTCACTCCTACAGAGTCTGCAGGCTCTGGAGTTTGCTTCTGCTTCTGAATCCTCCGTGCTACAGCTTGAGATTAATTCTGCGCCTTCTATCAAGGCGTGTTAAGATATTTCTGAATTGTGTCTGTTTTTAGAACCATTCTTGGTTAATATTTGATGTTCTTTCTAGGTTTCATTTTGCTTCACCAATACTTCAAGGCACAGAGGAGCTGGTAAAGGCATTGCCATGAAACCTAACTTGAAGCAATGGAAACAACTCATGCTGTTTGGGATCTTTGCATGGGGTCTGCTTTTTCTGGTGATATTCATCTATTTTACAGATAGCAACACTGCTGACCCAGTTCCGAGTTCCTTTTCATACGTTGAAACTAAGAGGCTTCTGCCCCTTCAGGGCAAGCAGAGAGTCATCATGGGAGCCATACACGATCTGTCGTTCTCTGAAACCATCGATGGGAATGAGGTACTTCTTAATGAAGATCTCTTAGGTACATTTAAATCTGGGACTGGAAGTATTAAGAAATGGACTGATTTGGAAGATGCCTTTAGAAATGAAGATGAGTTTTTTCCATCCCAGATAGGAAGAAAATCAAAAAGTGCTTTCTACCAAGTGAATGATGATTATTTATTTGCTGCTGGTCAGCCTCGGTCTCACAACCACCTTCAAGAGACAGCAAAATTCATCTCAGCCGATGAGGATAGTCCAAAAGTAAGTATTTTACAGAACGACTGGAGCCGTCAGAGAAGAATGAGGAGAAGGAGCACAAAGCACAGGAGACGCCAGATGCTTGATGAATCTGATGACTGGGATGGGCTGTATTCCACAATGTCGAAATCCTTTCTTTACAAGCTTTGGAAAGGGGATGTCTCTTCCAAGATGCTAAACCCTCGACTGCAGAAGGCGATGAAAGATTATTTGAGCACCAATAAGCATGGGGTGCGGTTCAAGGGGAAACGGAACTCCAAGTTGACAGGAGACCAGCTATTCTGCGAGCTAAAAGAAAGGGTGAATGTGAAGACAATAGATGGCAAGGAGGCTCCCTTCTCCACTCTTGGATGGGAAAAGCATGTTCCTCAAATTCCACTGGGCAAATTGTATACACATGGCTTTGGGAGCTGTGCCGTAGTTATGTCTGCTGGTGCAATACTGAACTCCTCTCTAGGGGATGAAATAGGTGGGTGAGATGCATCTATTTATGTGCATATGTTTGTAAATGTGTGTGTTCATGTTTGTCTTCCAAAAGGTTCATTCTACTCAGAATGAGTAGAGGTCTGTAAAGTCTGGTTGTTCTCTCTCACCGGTGTTACGTGAATGGGAGCTTATGAACTTCAGTGAAGCTGTTGCCTTTCAGGACAGTATAACTGAAAGTAAAATCAGGCCTGAAGTCATAATTTGTTTAAAGAAAACAATGATGCCATCTTATAGCTTGTAGTGGTTTCATCCGATCTGCCATACTTGGTGTTTTGTGCAACATGTGTTTATTTCTTCAGCAGATTAGAGCCCTGTTCAGGTTTTGTTCTGTAAAGCTGTGTTGTACCTGTCTGTATTCTGTGGCAGCTCATAGAGAAACTGCTAGTTGTATTGCTGTCCCAGCTTTGTCCCCATGCCAAGAAGCTGTAGAGCATCCTCTTCATCTCTTGCATGTTTAGAGTTCACAGACATACAGAATTCAGACGCTTGAGTAGCTTCATGCACTGAGGTCAAGTTTAAATGAGTCCAAGTATCTCTGCCCGTTGTTTTTCCATTGCTGCACTCAGTCAGTGAGCTTACCGGTCTGGTGAGACGTCAACGTCGCACAGAATTCCCAGCTTCAGGGTGGGAGTTTTGTGGTAGCTATTCAGAAGAGGATTGTGGAGGCATAAAACTAATCCAGGTCAGTTTTATTTTTTCTTTTCAAAAATGAGTGCTACTACTCGTCATAACATCTCAGTAGTTCTTCATTTTAGTAGTACACGTGCAGTATGCTAATAGCGCCAAAAGAAGGATGAAATGTGTGTCTCAAACTTGCTTCTGGAGCAAGAAGAGTTATCTCCCTTCAGCTCTCTATAAAAACCTTTTGATGTTCACTCATTTAATCCTCCCATCTTCCAGGATTTCGTATCCCAATACTTGCTTCATCCCACTGTATCATCTCTTTGGCACAGATGGGTTTCCTTTAAATCCCTGGGATATGTTAGAGCTGCTATCATTATTAAACTACTCTAATAAGCTTTCAGCACAGCAAGGGTGCCCAGCTGCCCTGCAGCTAAAATCACACCAGGATAACCCCCAATTTCACAGGGAACCCCACTGATTCAGAAATCTTTGGGGTGAAAAAGCTTAACAGTTTCTCCCTTCTCCAGTGTGTTATCCTGGATGGAAATATCCTGGATTCTGTCAGTGTTGCCCAGTACACTCAGTTTACACCAGCATGGATTAATGCTGTACTGGAGAATCCATAGCACGTGGTGACACATTTACATAGTTACATATTACACCATGCATCATGATATGTTTGCACACTCAGGTGCAGCCCAGATGTGGACTTTGGTGCTTGACGTGGTACCTGGGGCCCGTGTGCTCCTGTGTGCACCCATTTTTTTGGGAACAGTCTGGGCACAGAAAGTTTATGCCATTCTCTGAGGAAGAACTTTTGATTTAATTGGGAAATTGTCATCTGATGCCACCTAAAGGGAGGAGATGCTGTTTGGTAAGGCCAACACAGAAGTTACGGATCTTCTTCTGCCTGTTGTATGGGAAAATGTGTGGGACAGTAGGATTCACAGAAGGTTTGCTGTAAGTGTCTTCCAGGCTATGGGCCTTGTGACTGAGCAGAGAATTTGGCCCAGAACCGTGGGGGGCCAACTGACTGCTTACAGCCATCCCAGAAGGGCTTGGTACAAACCTATGGGTCTGTCGTGGTTTAACCCGGCAGCTGGCAACCAAGCACCAGACAGCCACTTGCTCACCCCTCCCCCTTCCCCCCCCCTCCCAGAGGGATGGGGAGGAGAAATGGACAAAAGGTAAAACTCGTGGGTTGAGATAAAGACAATTTAGTAATATTTCCTTTGCTGTCTTACTACTATTACTACTACTACTGAATATTCAAAACAAGCTATACACGATACAGTGTTTTTCTCACCACCCCATGACCGATTTGCAGCCAGTTTCCGAGTAGCGATCACGGAACCCAGAACTCGCAGATTTTGTGAATTTCATGAAACTCTTGAACAAGACTAAACTCCCAGAGAAGTTCAAATGCATGGACCAGAAAGGAAGGATTCAAACTCATGGCAAAGAGGGGGGGGGAATAAAAGGATTCCTTCTGCTGGGGCAACCCTCCTTTATAAACTCAGCATGATGTCTATGGTATGGAATATTTCCTTTGTCCAGCTTGGCCTGTCTGCCTGGCTATGCTCCCTCCCAGCTCCTGCATACCTGCTCATTAGCTGAACATGTGAGACTGGAAAAAGTCCTTGATTTCTTAGCAAGAGCTAACAACATCAGTGTTATCAGCATTCTTCTCATACTAAATCCGAAACACAACAGCTAGGAAGAAAATTAACTCTATCCCAGCTGAAACCAGGACAGAGTCTTAGTGGTCACCGTGGCTCCTGGGAAGTGCCAGTGTTTCCCACTTAAAATGGAAAATGTAAGGTCCAGCATCTGTTTGTATTATTATTCTCACGGGGAAGAAGTTATACTTCCCCTTCAGAGTCCACATAGTATGTGTTACAGGTGAGCTCTTGGCCATGCCTTTCCATCTGCTCTCTAGTCATTGAAAAAGTGAGAAGTCTGACTGGGAAGAGAAAGACGAGTCTGTTCGAGATGCTCTTTTTGCTTGTGCATCCAGAGCTGTAGGAGAGGACTGTCCTCTCCCAGAGCCGGCACCAGGGCTACCAGCTCGTGGCTGAAAATGTGAGCAAACCTGCCAGTTTGGAGGCACCTTGGGCGGCCGGTGATGCTGCTCCATGGAGTCAGCCTGGCACCTGTCCTGAGCTCCTCTGTGACTGTAGAGGCACGGCAAAGTTGGCATCGCTGGGGAGTGGGGAACTCCCCATGCGGGAGTTCTGGTCTTTGGGCCATGGGCTGCACAGCCTTGGTTGATGAAGTTGCTGCAGGCTTTTACTATTTATCCTCCCGAACTAAAAAAAAACCGCTTAGGAGAGCAGCAGCAGAGGCCCTTTCTCTTCATAGGCCTTTAGCTCCCTCTTCTGTGCTCCTATTAGAAACACAGACAGAAATGTTAATTTGAGTTCTTCCTTTTGCGCTCCTCCCTCCCACCCCTCCGACTGTTTTTGAATGAAACTAGGTGTGGAAATACTGTGCAAGTACAGCAAACACTCCCATCGTAATCGTGCTGTTTAATGGGAGACCCAGTTGTTTTGGCATCATCAGGAAGGGATCTGCCATCAACACGCAATCCTTTATATGTTTAAAATGGTTATCTCCAAATTCCTATTAAGATTAAAATCGGTTGACTCAAAATCAGGTGTTATCAATGTTAGGCTGTGTCTTGATCATCTATTTTATGGGGAAGGAAAGGTGTTTACTCTTGATATGAAGAACCAGCATGAATAATGTTCAAAATGCAGTGCACTGTCTCTCAACTTATCGACCATACAATTCCCATTTCCCAACCTGATTCCCAGTTCTCAGTCAACAGATTGTCAATAAGTTGTCAAATGCAGGTCCAAATTTGTAGCTCCTACACAATCAGAGTGCTTATGTTTAGGCAGAGGAAGGATAGATGTTGAGGCTAGTGTTGTCCTTGCATAGGGACATAGAATAAACCTCCAGTCCTTCTTAGCTCCTGAGGAGTTGGACTCGGTGGACATTTGGCAAAATCTCTCTTTTTCAGACACAACATGTTAAAGCAAGCATGTATGGCTGAGATTGGACTGCCAGCTTCAAGCCACATAACATTTTCTTGTCTGGAGTTACAAGTGTGGAGTAAAGATGTGAACTATGGAAGATGCCAGTTTGATAGGATCAGGCCTGAACTCCATTGAAGCATGTTGGCTATCTTTGGAAACTTCTGCCTCCTCCATTTTTGAGCTACAGGCAACCACATTATAAGTGATGAGAGATAAACAACTGTATAAACTGCCTGTGGGTTAAGGCGTTACATGCCCATTGTGGCCTGAATCGTATTCTCTGCTTCCATCAACGGAAGGGATAAATAGACCAAATAGGGGGCTGTTGACAGGAACAGTGCATTTCTGGGCAATGGAGATAATTTCTTACTCTCCCTCTTTGAGGGCTTTGAGATCCTCTTAAAAAAAAGGCACTGGGAGGGTGATTATCTTTTATCCAGCAGAGGCTTGCACATAGCGTCTGCCCTTGACCCATACTTGACCTATAGCTGCTTTCTATTCTGCGTGACTCTGAGGTCAACAGCTCATGGGGAAACTTTGACAGTTCAGCTCAGTTAGCTCTTTGCTACCAAGGGATCCTCAGGTTTCTGTATGTGAGCAGGTTTGTGGGCTGACTTCCCTGCAGAGACTCTTTAAGACTTCTACTGACCTTGAGAATAAGTACATAAGAAGGATTAATAGGTTTGGGTTAGTTTGAGTTTTTCAGATACTGTAAAACACGATGAAGCACAAGCTTATAGTTAAATGTTGTTATTCGTTCAAATGCACAATTAGATATCCTTGCAATTAACATGCTTTTGCATGGAGTAATTATTTGTAACTTTTGTAATAGAAATAGCAAGCAATTGTGTGTACTGGGTGTACTAATAACCTTCCCACATTAAATTTATCCAATTAAGGGAAATGTTGAAGTATTGCAAGCTAAATTAATAGATTATTCTGAACTTTTTTCTGGTGGATTTTAATAATGTTAATAACATATGGCAGATGCAAGCCGATTTTTTTTTGTGTGTAGTAGAATGTTTCTCATCTTTAGAATATCAAGATTAGGAGAAATGTGTAAATTTTATGTTAGTTTTGCTCATTTATTTTATTTTACTGTTCTATACTACTAAGAAAAATGAAAATGACTCCCCCACTTATGCTCCTAGATTCTCATGATGCCGTTCTAAGATTTAATTCTGCTCCAACACGTGGCTATGAAAAAGATGTTGGAAATAAAACAACGATGCGGATCATTAACTCTCAGGTAAGATCTTCCTTTTGTGAATTCAAGTCAATGTCACTTCTGTACAATATGACATTAAATTAATATCTTCTGAGAAAGTGTTGGGTAGTCTGGGAAACAGCTAGTGATTTAACAGTCGTGATGTAGAGCAGGTAAAAGCTCTCCCTTCCAGGGATGTTCATGCTGCTGTCAGCGTAGAGTGATTGCAGTAGCTACTTGATCTTTTTGTTTCAGAGAATTGGTTTGTAAAGTTTCTCATGTGCCCTACATCCGTAAAGGCTCTGCAGGGTGTCAGAGCTATCAGTACAGAAGGCCTTCACCACACTGCCTCTGGGATCTTCACAAAGCCCAGGCTGTGGGGATCCCAAAGCTCTTTTCTCATATTCTCTAGTTCCCCAATTATTTCCTCGCTGGAAGGCGAAAGAAATGGGAACCAAGTTGTCGTGATACACAACTTCAGGCAAGTCATCGTTCTTTAAAAAATTGGAATGAACTAGTAAAAAACTTTAGTGTACACTGGGTGTTACAGGTAAAGTGAGTTTGCTTATCTGAATGGAAACAGAAAATGGTACTTTTTTGCATATGGGTGTCAACAAACAATTGTGCATTGAACTACAGCGACACCTTATGGTTGAGAGTAGCTTTCCAATTTTGAAGAAACTATTGCCTGAACTCTGGTCTTGGGCAAACCAAGTCTCTTTCCTCTTCATGAAGTGCAGCCAAAAAGCAACAACAGAATTACTGTGAAATTTTATGACATACTGAAATGGTGACTTTAATTAGTCAGTGCCAATAGTATGGTTGGTCTTGTAGCATGCACTATACTTACTGATTCTTGCCGAATGAGAGCAAAATTTTCATTTACTGTTACTCTTGTGAATTCATTTTTTCTTCTTCTTTGTCTTCTTTGAGTGACTTGCCCATGCAAAGTCCATCCTTGGTGGGTGTGTTCTCTGTGTGTAGAAGGTCGTGTTGTTTGCCACGGTGGAGAGGACTGTTCCCTGTCATTCCCTTCACGCTTGTTTTGTAGCACTTTGTGAGACTGCAGGACAGACTAGAGCTTTGAAGTGATCTGGGTCAAATATGCCCCCTTTCTTTTGCTAAAGGGAAGAAAGCAGAAATATCTTACTTCTGAAATCATTGTATTGGAGAACATTGATCTTAATGTCTTTTATTTTACTTTTTGTTTTTTGTTGGTTTTTTTTCCCCATTTCTTTGACTGTTCTTTGTTTTACTGTTAGCCAAAACATCCTAGTGCTGACCATGCCTGAACTCCTGTGCTGGGCAAGGAGGAGGGCTTAGAAACTTTACTGAATTGACTAGTTTCAGTAGGCTTCCTGTAGGAGAAGAAAGAAATGCCTCCAGGGAGTGACGTGAGCTTTGTTATCTCCCCGGAGAATTCAGAGATATTAAACAATTAAATGAGCTGCTCTGCTGCTCTAGGCAGGCTGGGGTTCTCCTGGCTCCCAGAGCTGCTGCAGTACGATCCTGCTGGGCTGGTAATGGAGAGTCCCATGGTCTTCTCTGCTTGCTATCTACAAGGCCTCTGAAGAAAACACAGGGCATAACTAAAATTCAGGCCAGGTCAGCTCACACAGCTTCCTCACAACTGTTCGGATTCCCACCACCTTTCTGCTTCTTTGGAGAGGTCGGGAGCCACCCATGATGCTCTGGCCACCTGCTGAGAAACGGGCCTTCCCCTCTCCGGGAGTGACATCTGCACAGGCCACTTGATGAAAGTTGCTTTGCCTACCAGTACTGAAGATGGGTTATCTGCACAGGTTTTCTGACCCTCCTTCCCTCCTCACTGTTGGAAATTCCTGCATTCATGCGATTAGAAGCTGGTTGTGGCCCTTTTCTTCCCTCCTGTTCTCTGCTGTGAAAGCCCAAAGGACGCGAAGGAAGCCAGTGCAGCCACAACAGATATTGTTATTCCAGAAGAAACTCATCTCATACATATGAATGCAATACTCAATAAGAGCGAAATTTGTGTGGACACCACCTCCAAAGGACTCTTGCTCGCCGAAAGGCAAATAAGAGCTCCTTTGTGGTAACTGCAGAACTGAGCTTTTAAAAGCTTGACCTTTTGGTCTGTTTGCTCTGTGCTCTCAAAAAAGGAGTTTATGTTCTCAGGCAAAAACTGCTCTGAGAAATGGAGTTGGGGATGCTGATGGCAGCACGACTAATTCTGTTCTTGTTGTAGAAGGCTGATGGAAAGTCGTTAAGCTCAAAGTTTATGGTAGGAAGAATATTGCTATGGCAACAATATTATTTTTCTGAAGAAAAATACGCATAATCAAATATGGCTCATTGGATCCTAAAGGGAAATGAAAATTAGTATGAATTTATTTGTCTGGAATGTTTAACAGCTGGAGCCAAATTCATGCTGTTTCAACCAATGCTGAAATCATTCAGCTCAGTCCTGCCTGAAATTGGATGCACCAGGGATCAGAGAGATCTGGTTAGGCATGGAGGGTCCGGGAAGGGATAAGACAGCAGGAGTGAGAAGGAAACTTCCAGTGGGGCAGCAGAATTGGGCAGAGTACCAAGAGATGCGGGAGGGAGTTACATGAGAGCAGTAGATCAGAGCAATACGACAGTTACTTCAGAAATAGTCCTATTACATGCCTGTTCCTGGAATTATTTTTCTAGGTGTGTCAGGTTTTACAGTCACAGTCTAATTTGCCTTTTTGGAGTTACTTGAAATGAGACTGTCTTGCTGTTGAAATGAGAAAGCAACCAAAATGGGGGGGAAGAAGATGTTATCCTTGGGGGCTGTAGCCTTTCAAAGAAGGCTGCTCTGTGTCCAAGAAGAGGATCCTGCAGATAGTCTGAAATACTGTAGCTTTCGTTTTCAAGTTCCAGAAAACACAGTAGTGTTGATATACAATTATGCAGCATCTCAAGTGGTCCCCTCACATCCCTCACAGATGGAGAGTAATTCAGCATACTGCTACTTCAAACTGTCATGAGTGCTGTTTACAGCTAAGCTCTTTTTAATATATTTTCTTAACAAAACAAGTTGCTTAAAATCACCCAGAATTAAAGCAGAACAAACAGCAGCATGGGGAGGACTGTTCATTTTACAGAAGGAATTTACCATTTTTCTGGATCCCACGTGCTTTTAATGCTGTGCACTTCCTTGCATCTGTGTTCGCAGATTCTCACCAACCCAAACCATCACTTTGTCGACAGCTCCTTGTACAAAGATGTTATCTTAGTAGCCTGGGATCCTGCCCCCTACTCTGCAAATCTGAATGTGGTAAGATGTCTGCTCGGACTTTTCTTCCCAATTAGTCTGAAAGCGCTGGAGAAAATGAACGTATTTAGTACTGCAGTCTCTTGGTTCTCACTTGCCACAATGAACCCCAAAGTCTGTCGTTATCTAAGGAGTGGGGAGTGCTATATGTGCATGAGTTGGTCAAAATTGGTTTATTGGTCAAAAGCTTTTTAGTAGCCAGCATTTGCACTGGAGTGGACTGCTCTGAGATGCTAGGATAGATGCATGATGGGTTTTTTTTATAAAATATTAGTGTTTTCACATAACAGTGAGTTTTCTATGTGTTTGCCAAGGAGGGACCATCGCTGGGTTTCAGAAGGAGGTTTTATCAGGAAAGGTGAAGAATTACATCCGGTTTTTCCCACCTTTCCCTCTGCCTTCCCAGACAAAATACAACACCCTAATGCAAATCTCTCTTGGCGCCTTCCCCGTGTCTCAGTTCTCCTCCCCACCAGACTTCCCTCTGCATCCCCTCGCCCACAGCCATCTGTGCCCCGCTGTCCACCCCCACGCTGAGAGCAGCAGACGTTCGTCTGGTCGTCACCGGGGGAGTCTCTGCCTTGGCTGGTGCTGCAGCTCCGGTGGACCAGTTGGCCTGATGGCTCTTGGCAAGGGGAGCTCAGAGCTGAGCGGTGCTGCAAAGTAGAAAGTAAACCTTCATCTGCTGAACGTCCTTAGCAGAAGATGCCGGAGGCTGCCTGGCTCCTGTGCAGGCTGCCGTCAGCCGGCTCCCTGTGCTGCTGCTGCCGCTGCCAGTGGGGACAGGGATGCTTTCCAAGGAAGATTCACCCCCCTGCCCGGGTCTTGTGTCGAGGCTCTTTGAACCCCGTGTTTAATGAGGGCTTGTGAGTGGGAGATGAGGTTGGCTCGTCCCACTGCGGTAAATTGTTTATTGGGAGTCTCTGTATGAAGGAAGGAAGCAGAGCAGCCCAGTGTGAGGACTGGCTTGCTAGGAGAAGCGTCCACCAGTGCAGGCTGCTTTGCTGCCTTTGCTTTTGTTCTGAGGAACCCGAATGAAACTAATTCACGTTATTTTGCATGTAGTGTTCAAAACACATTAGATACCATAAGATTATAAAAATTCTTACTTTTTTCCTCCTAGTGGTATAAGAAGCCAGATTACAATCTGTTCACTCCCTACGTACAGCATCGCAGGAAGAATCCAAGCCAGCCATTTTACATTCTCCATCCAAAGTTTATATGGCAGCTCTGGGACATCATTCAGGAGAACACTAAAGAGAAGATACAGCCCAACCCTCCTTCTTCAGGTTTTATTGGTAGGTGTATCAAAAAGGGGCCCAGTAGACATGTTAGATTAAAAAAAAAAAAAAGGGAAAAAAACTGTAAATGTATGCATTGCATAGGATCAAGTCCATGTACTTGTACTGTTTGTTCTTAGTGCTCTCTACAGAAACAATGACTAGCTAAAACACATCGTATGAGATCTATGAGATAGTTGGGTGAACTTAACGTGCCCTTCACATCCATAGTATGCATACTGGATATACATACATATGTGAGAAATTTGTATGATTCCATATTAATTTATCTGTTGAGAACCTACTCTATTCTGAAGTTCTTTCTTGGGATCATAGAGCAGACAGAGATGCATCAGAGAACTGAAAGCATGTGGCAGTATGGCAGATCATACGGAGAGGGTGAAATCACTGAAGCAGA